GCCTAGTCGCAGGGGCAGCAGGTGGGTTGTCGCCGGCGGGCGGGCGATCTCTAGCCACCCAGTCGCGCGGTCGGTCTCCAGCCGCCCAGTCGCGCGGGCAGCGGGTGGGCTGTCGCCGGCGAGCAGGCAATCTCTAGCCGCCCAGTCGTGTGAGCGGGTGGGGTGTCGCCGGCGGGCGGGCGATCTCCAGCCGCCCAGTCGTGCGAGCGGGTGGATTGTCGCCGGCGGGCGTGCGGTCTCCAGCCGCCCAGTCGTGCGACTGGGTGGACTGTCGCCAGCGGGCGTGCGGTCTCCAGCCGCCCAGTCGCGAGGGCCTGGCCTCTAGTTCCCTGGTTTCTCCTGCTAGACCAGATTTCCCCTGAGTGATGCCTCTTGGCAGTTCAAACTGTACTCTGGGCCTGCCGTTTGTTGGGTGTGGAGGGTGTCTATTGGGAACCCCAGAACTCTACTGTTTTGGTTTTTTCCGCTTGCCCCTCCCCCAGCGCTGGCTATACAGGTTTCGTTTTCGCCACTGATGGGAGGGGGAATTGAAGGTCAGGTGTGTCTAGTTTTCCTCGTGTCTTTATGCAGGCTCGCTCTGATAATCCCTCCCCCGGAAAGCCTAAGAGAGATTTTATGCGAATTCCCCGCTGTATGGGAGCTGAGCTGAGTAACACACACCTGTTTTATTGTTGCAATCTGTCAGAGAGTGGCGGTGGTTACTTCAGCTCTCCAAGATGGTGGCCGCTGGTTTCTTTGGTGGAGTTTCCGTTTTGGGGGATAGAACTGTACCGCTTCCTTCCTCGTCTGAAATCCCGAACTCAGCCCGGGGCTCAGTGGGTGCTCAGCCGGCAGGATTCCACAGAATCTGCAGCAATGTTTCTTCCTGCTTGCTGGTCGCTTCTTGGTGGTGCCCTGCCTTCTGTAGCCGCGGGGCGGGCCGCGCGGATCAGTCAGCCTGGATCTCTGGTGGGAACCCCGGCACTCTCTGTTTTTTTTTTCTTTCCAGATTACTTTGACTAGGACTTCTAGTAATTCATTTTACACTAAGTTTATGTAATTTACTTCTTTAAAAAAAATGATATGTACAACCAGATAAATGAAAATTTGTGCTCCATTTGTATACAATCAACTGAAATGCATTCTGCTGTCATGTATAACTAATTAGAACAAATTAAAAAATGTTTAAATTTAAGAAAGTGAAAAAAATAACGATTGCTTACCAATTTGTAAAATTCCTGAAAATGTAACAATTTGTTCTCAAGAGCCATGGTGAACAGGCTGCAGCATGCTTTTGGTTGGACTTTTCACATCTATTGCCCTTCCGCAACTTGAGCCTCAATAAACTGGAAGAATCACTTAATTTCTCATAGTGATAAAAGTAAAGGAAACGAAGGATATATATACATCCATGTCAAATTATTTGGCAAAAAACACAATAAATATTAAGCTGTGTTTGGTCCCCATCCAAACATTATCTCACCACATGAAATTCCTTTCATGGAGGAAGACATTATGGTTGTTTTTTGTTTTTTAACACTGGCCTGAGTGAGTTCTTTACTTGCATATTTTTATTTAACCCTCACAATAATGAACAATATAGGTATTATGATTTTCCTCATTTTAGAGAAGATACTAATGTTTAGAAGGGTTAACTCAGGCAAAAGCAGACCCCCACATAGTCAGTGGTAGCTAGTATTTGAACCAGACATGCCTGGGTCTCAGTTGTCATTTGATCACACATTGCACATGCTGGAGTATTCATTGCTCTGTCTGATCTTTGACTGTTGATACAGTTCTGTGTTGTCTTTGGATGAAGAATCTCTACAGTTCTGGCTCCATCTAGGCTGTATGCACATTCTTAGAAGCATAGGGAAAATTGTGGCTCCCCTCCATTGCCACTTCTGGGTCACAGGCAAGCTAGGTACATATCTCAGGCATTAGTCATCTAGATATATCACGCAGTCATTTTGGAAGGGATTCTCATTTTGTGATGATGTACTATTTTTAGTATATATTATTGCAATTGGTTTGTTAAAAATTTTGGATTTCTTTGTATTGATGTTTATGGGCACATTGGTGAGTAGTTTGGTTTTTTTTTTCCCTTATAGTTAAAAATCTATTTCTTCTGGATGGAGCATTATTATTAATTTGTGTCTTTGAAGAAATTTTTTGTCAAATTTATCATTACAATATTTTAAATATTTTCTTATTTTAATTTCAGTAGACTCTATTCTAATTAGTCAGCTATAAGTGTATCAATCTTCATGATCTACTGAGAAAACTACCTTTTGGTTCCATTGATTTTCTCTGTTATTTCATTTAAATTTTCCCCTGATTTTTATTTTGATCTTATTTTCACTACTTTAGATTTAATTTGCACTTCTTATTTTAGCTTATTAAGGAGGTAGAAAGCTAGATCATTGATTTCTTAATTTTTATATTTTTACTTTTTTCTGTAAATTTCTCTATGAGCACTATTTTAGCTATATTTCACAACTTTTGATATTTGTGCTTCAATTTACATTTAATTAAAAATGTTTACTGATTTCTTTTACTAATATGATATTTAGAAGTTTGTATTTTGTCTCCAAAGATTTGGAGATTTTCTAGACCTCTGTTTATAATCCTAATTTAATTTCATTATGTTCAGAGAAGATACTCTGTATGATTTAATCCTTTAAAATTCATTGAGACTTGTATTATGTACCACAGTATATCTTGGTTACTGTGTCTTGTGCATTTGAAGCAAATGTATATTCTGCAGTTGTTGGATGGTGCTCTATAAATGTCAAAACACAGTGGTTGATACTGTTGAGTCCTCAATGATTTTCTCTCCATTTGTTAAGTTTATTAAAATTTGAAATTGTGTGGATTTTCCTGTTTCTCCTTTCAATTCCATTAGGGCTTTTGTTTTTCCCATATATTTTGAATTTGTGTAATTAGGTACATAAATGTTTAGCATTATGTCTTCTTGATAAAATGATCCTTTTATCATTATGAAATGACCTTCTTTAATCTCTAGTAATGTTCCTTGCTTTGAAATCTACTTTGTCTGATACTAATATATCCATTTTGATTAGTGTTAATATGGTATATCCTTTTTTCATCTTTTTTTTCGTTAGGATGGGCATCTTAGTTTGTTTCGTGATACTATCACAAAATACTTGAAACTGGATAATTTATGTAAGAACAGAAATCTATTTTTCACAGTTCTGGAGACTGGCAAGTCAAGATTAAGATGCTGGCAGGTTTAGTTGTCTAGTGAGGGCTGCGTCCTCTAGCTGAGAGGAATGCTATGTCCTCACATGGTAGAAGGGCAGAACAAAGTAGCCACATTCTCATGGGAGGAGCAAGCCTTCATGGCCTAATAACCTGTGAAAGATCATACAGTTATGCTATCACTTTGTTAACAGCTGAATTTTGGAGGGGCCACATTCAAAACCTAGCAATGTTAGATATAAGGTGTCCCCTGAAAGCTCCTGTGACACAATGCAGGAATGTGCAGAGGTAAAATAATCAGATTGTGGGAACTATAACTAATCAGTGGTTTGATCCATTTGATTGGTTGATAATTTGAATGGATGAATGGGTGGTAACTGTAGGTAGGTAGGGTGGAGGAAGGAGGTCACTGGGGGGTGTATCCTTGGGGATCACAGTTTTCTGGGCTCCTTGCACACTTGCTCTTTGCTTCCTGGTTCTCATGAACTGAACAGGTTTCCTCCTAGGTTCTTTCTGCCTTTTCTTGGGCCCAAAGTATGGAGTCCAATGACCAAGAACTGGGAGCCAAAACAAACTTTTCCTCCTTTAAATTGTTCTTGTTAATCTTTTGCTTACAGTGACAAAAAGCTAACACAAATTGTTTTGTTTTCCTCCCTTCATATTATTCAGTTTTTTAGTTGGTTCGGATGAGAAAGTAATACTCTTTACTAATGCCTAGTAGAGCAGATCTGCTTTTATCTACTCAATATACTGATGTTCTGTATATGAATCTTTCAAAAAGGGGTTCTACATTTAAAAATATTTTGAAAATAACAACAAAAATAGGGGAATGAATAGACAAATAGTACATTGATCCAACAAACGTATATTTCATCAGATATTTCCATGGACTTGATTCCTCTAAGTCTGATTTTTCATTTGTGAATTATAGAGAAGAGCATCATTTACATGGGACCACATAGATCACAGTAGAATAACCTATTCAATGATACACAACAGCCTTGATTGTGAGAGTTATAGGAAATAATGTAAAGAACTGTGGACAGAACTGGCATTAATAAGTTTTCAATAAACTTTAGCTGATAGTAGGGCTGCAGTAAAGTAGAGGGGATTTTCCAGGTGGGTCCTGGATGCAATCCAATATTTCATAGGGAATTTTGAGATGCAGAGAAGGCAATGTGAAGACAGAGATTGAGAGATGCATTCATATACAAGGATAACCATGCAGCCACCAGGAACTGAAAAGGCAAGGAACAAATTGCCCCTAGAAGCTCCAAAGGGGAGGAACAACTTTGTTTCAATTTAGTGACATTGACTCCGGACTTCTGGCTTCCAGAACTGTGAGAAAATATATTTCTGTAGTTTTAAGACTCTCAGAAACTAATAATATATGTGGTCAGAAATAAAGCCTTCCGTAAACATCAATGTTCTCTAATATCAATGATCCTAAATAAGAGCCCCCTGGTGGTTTTTTGTTGTTGGTGGTGGTTGTTTTGGTACCAGGGATTGAACTCAGGGGCACTCAACCACTGAGCTACATCCCCAGTTCTATTTTGTATTTTATTTAGAGAATGCAATTCATTTCATATTACACATAGAGGGCACAATTTTTCAAGTCTCTGTACACAAAGTATTTCCACACCATTCGCATCTTCATACATGTACTTAGGGTAATAATGTCTCATTCATTCCACCATCTTTCCTACCCCCATGCTCCCTCCCTTCCCTTTGCCATATCTAAAGTTCCTCCATTCCTTCCATGCTTCTCCCCGCCCATTGTAATTATGAGTTAGCATCCTCATTCATTGGAACGCTTTACAAATTTGCGTGTCATTCTTGCGCAAGGGCCATGCTAATCTTCTCTGTATCGTTCCAATTTCAGTACATATGCTGCCGAAGCAAGCACTACCCCTGCCCCTTGGTTTTTAAACTACAAAGGTAGGGCAGATCATTCTCTAAGACTGGATTCTTTTAAAAATGTACCATTTCATATTAGCCTCTGAGAAATTTAATTTTTTTTAGCTTTTGCAACTATTTGTTCAAAATATACTGGAACTGTCATCTAGTTCTTTCAATATACATTTCATAAATAATTTCCAAGGCTGAACAAGTGTTACATTTATTTTCAAAATCCCAAGTGAGATGGTTCAGTTAGATATTTCATCTAATGTTAGTTTTGCCTAGCCTATCATTCAGTACATATCCTACTAGATATGCAAGCTACATGGAGGCAGGGATTTTGATCACGACTGTGTTCACAATATCTGCAACACTGCCTGGGCACAGTTAAATACATTTGTTGGATCAATATGCCATATCTGTTCACTCTCTATTGCTGTTGTTTTCAAACTTAAAAAAATAGCAGAACCCTTTTGTTGAAAGAATTCTTAAACAGAATGATAGATATATAAGTAGATCTGCTCTTCTAAGCATTACTAACATGTTACACATCACTCATGTAAAAAATTTGTAGTTCAGAAGCTTATGTAATAGTCTTTTTGGAAAAATGAAATTTATACCTAGGTAAAAGGTATAAAAACCCTCCTTGGGGAGGATTTTGAGTTTCTGCTCATGAAATGGACAGAAACATAACAATGCCAGGGTAAAGGAATTAGTATCCATTTTGTTATGAACACAATGAGACAGAAGGTTACTAAGGAAGCTATGTTCAATTTGTCTATCCACAAAGTAATGGTAGAAAAACTGCAGTGCCTTTGGAGTCTAGCAGTTATGAGTTCAAACCCTGGACTGTCAATCACTATATGACCTTGTGTGAGTCTCAACTGTAATATGGTGATAAGTGGGTTACTATGAGGATTAAATGAGATGATTATGTATAGGGTTTGTTACATTAAAAATGCTAAATGGTAGTTTCAACAAGGCATCAGGTTTTCCTGATGATCTATTTCCTACTTTCCCTAAGGTTTTTGTGTTGAAATTGCTCTTTTGTATTAAACCCTTTACTGCAGACTGTTATAACACTGGTAGTCAAGTATATAGCAACAAAATATATGGAAAAAATAGAGGAAATTTCCTTATTTTGAAATATACATGATATTCATTTGTATTTTCTCTGCATCTGAGTTGGTGTAGTCAAATTGGAGTAGGAGATACATGGATGCTTATTGTCACTTGCCTGTCACTCAATCCCAATGAGGACCATTTTCTTGTTCCTTATCTATTTGTAAACTTGCCTGTGGACAGCAGGAACACTATACACTCTGGGAATCCAAGCCTCATTCTCTCTGTGGGGTGTCACACTTCAGAAATTTACTCCTAATCTCAATTATTATTAAGTACATTAAAACCAGCAGTTTACACTTTATATTTTGTCATACTGACTAGCTACTAGGCCTGAATGGCAACTTTTAATATTTTCTCTTTAAAAATGTAGAGCAGTACAAGCAAAATTAGTTACCCATGTTGGAAATCCATGCCTTTCTGGCCAGGGATTCTTTTAAACGTAAAAACGACTCTATAACACTCCATCATTGACAGCTATAATTCAGAGTTGATTCTCCTCTCTTGGGTGATCTCACCCAAATTCATGGCCATAAACTTCAACTGTGAATATGACTCTCAGATTTTTATCTCCAGGTAAACGTTTCTTCCAAACTCCATACTTTCATGTACTACTACTTACTAGACGCATCTGGATATCTAATGGAGACTCTACTGCTGTTCTTTTAGCATATAAGGCACACTCCTACCTCTGGATCTTTGTACTTTTTTTTTCTCTCTGCCTGGAACATTTTTCCTTATCTTCATGTCTGTGGTCAAGAGCACTTGTGAGCTCTTTCTTGATCACTGTATGAAAGACTGCAACCTCTAGCTCATGTAGCACTGCTTTTTTTCTTCCTTGCTTTACTGGGGACTTGATAATACTTAGTATAATACATCTTACATTGTATTAATTTCTGTTCTCCAATTAAATTATAAGCTCCACAAAGGCAGGGATTTTTTCTCTTTTCACTTTTTACTGAACCTACAACAGTCCTAGGCATAGTAGTCATTCAATAAATAATTTTTGAAAAGAGTGGATTTGAAGTTATCACTCCCCACTTCCACACACCCCCCAAACTACTGAATGATTATAATCAAAGTCACACAAAAGTTCTCAGGTTGAAAATAAAAGCAAAAGACCACTACACATTAGTTTGTCAACATGTAATGCCCTGGGTTTATTTTGTGAGAATTCTATCACAATTTTTCCAGGTGGGATTAAAAACCTTAAGGATAATGTATGCCATTGGACTGGGCATTCAGACTTCGGTACTGACAAAGCACTAGTAGTAGTCTGTTAAGTACCAATCTCTTCACAGAAGAGAGGTCAAAAATTTCCAAAGGAAGGCACCCGATATTTGTGGTTCTGGCCTTGCAGCCTTCTGGAGAATCTTAAAAGGAAAAAAGCTGGCTGGCTGTTTTTAGAAACTGGAATGATGATACACGTACAGCAATTACTGCATTCTTCTCCCTTATATCCTTTTTGTAAGAACAAGTAAAGAATGAAGTCTTTTAAACAATTCGACAATAAAAAAGTACATTTTTTTGTGTGTGTGCTAAAAAAAGGGCAAGACAACATAAACTCCAGTTGTAAGGACTCCATTTGCATACTTGATTTAACACTTTTTGGTGTGGAAGGAAATGGGACTACTGGGCTGTTTGTAGAGCAGCAACATAACATTAGTGCTTTAAGTACCAGAAACCACCCACAGCTCTGTGGGCCAAGTGGGGATGGGAAGATTCAAGAGACTTCATTTTTAGCTTGTTACTTGTCCTAATGATAGTAGACCAGGAAGATCCCCATTTAACAGTACATTCCCCATTTTTAAAAAAACTGATGCCTTTTTTTTTTCTTTTTTTCTTTTTTTTTTGTAAAATTCTGTATGTATGTCACCATTTTTTTCACATGATACACAGAAAACTCAAGGACCCAGAGGGGAACCAAGTTATGTTATACCATTTACAAAATACCAAGGAGTCCACAGCTACCTAACACATTTACTACAGCACAGGAACCAATGAAGGTACAGTGTACAAAAAACTGTAAACACGGCACAATAAATAGATAAAACAGCAGGTTCCGCACCATGCACATGATGTGATGACACTTCATCTCTATACAATCTCACATCTCACACTCTTTGTTGCAATTTATTTTCCCCCCACCCCCCACCCCCAAGTGCAAAGCATCACAAATGAACATTTCTGTATTCAAGTAACATATATACAAGGGTATTACAAATATGCAGTACTGTACAGATAATTGCTGTATTCTTAATTTACAGATGTTGATTTTTTTTCCTATTAACAGTAAGAAAAGAAAAATTGAAGCATGAGAGATGAGCATTGCTGTTAAGTCCCCACAGCTGCCACAGAAACGCATGTGCTGCATTCCATCATCCCTTGCATTCAAAATGCTACTGATGCATAGCACCTAATCAAGTCCCCAGGCTGCAGTTCCACTCCTGAGGAAGCTACGTCACCTCCATTGCCACTGTATTGTCTGCTATGTTGTTCAATGCTGGCTTTTCTGATTCATGATTTTCCCTGTTGAAATAAAGTTCAACCAATTACTTATTTGCTACTGATAAAGATTATCTTCCCAATAAAAAGTTTATTTTTAATAACAAGAAGAAATGATTATTGGGATAAGATAGCAGAGAAAGGAATATGAATCATTTTAGTTTATTATCAAGAATATGCAGTCAGAAATCAGGCTGATGTCAACTTTAAATCCCACGGTCAACTATATCACCAATAAAACTGTCATAGCACCCAAGTAATCTAGATGTTAATAACACAAAGAATTCCCAAGTTTAGGTGACTATAGTTTCACTTTCCTCTTATATGAAAACTTTTATAAGTAGGAGTAAACATGACTATCATGTTAGGACTTTAAGTCAACATCCTAATACATGCTGTTAAGCAGGACAGCTACTGAGCTAGTAATAATCAGAACACTAGTTTTCTAATTTTACAATGGCCGAGTATCTGCCAGATCTGTTTCCTACCTTTAAACAAAGGGATAGGGATATAAAAAGCTCCATACATACATACATACGTGTGTGTGTGTGTGTGTGTGTGTGTGTGTGAACTATACTTGACTGATTGGTTAGCTTTGACTAGACCCAGTAAAAATGAATTGGTATTCAACAGGCAATGACTACTGTTTTAATTTAGAACAGATATACATGAGTTTATAAACTAAAGACTATAACGTGTTGCTACAAAACTTTGCTCTAGGAAGTCAAATGTCCACCTGGCATTCAAGATGCTCCACAGTCTAGCCTTTCCCTGCCATTCCAACATCAACCACTAACATTCCCAAACCTCTGGGAGAGTTTACTTATTAACCACTAAACACTTTCCTAACTTAGTATTTTCATTTCCCATTCCACCTAACTGAAATGCTTTTTCTTCTTTCCTGATATAGTATCATACTTTGAAGGACATTCCCAGAACTCCCCTGGAGTGAAATGATTTCTCTTAGTATTGAAATTATATCCATCATCTGTATGCCTAATAAGCACAGAATGCTTTAAGATACCTGTAGACAATTTTTCGTACATTAACTTTTCAAACTTTAAAGCTTATTTTTAACTAACCAAAAACTCTTGTCTCTTTTGTTTCTCCTCTAGTAACCTTATAAACAATAAGATTTTAATTACCATTAATATTTAAAACAAAGACTTGAGCAAAAATCCCCAAATATTGAAACTCAAGAAAATAAATGAGCACAGGAAATAATAGCTTGATTAAGAACTGATCTGGAGTATATTCTCTAAATCATCATTAAGAGCAGTTTAGTATTCTAGTGGTGGTAGGTTCTGTTGATTCTAACTATTTACACAAGAAGCTATGGAAATAAATCATAAATATGAGGAACATTTTAAAGAGAACATCAAAAGGATAAAGAAAAGTGAGAGCATTATAAGCTATTGTCATCCTAAGAAAGGGGTATTCAAATCATATATGCAATATTCACTATACCATTCAGTTCAATTTCTTCATTAATATTGAATTACAACACTCATCTGCTTAGTCCCTGAATCAATTATCATCTATATTTTTGGGGGTGGGGGTGGGGGGGGTTACTAGTGACTGAACCCAGGGTCACTTTACCACTGAGCTACCCCCCAGCCCTTTTAATTTTTTATTTTGAGACAGATGCTCTTTAAGTTGCTGAGGCTGGTCTTGAACTTGTGATCCTCCTTCCCCAGTCTCCCAGTTAGTTGGGATTATAGGAGTATACCACTAGGCCCTGCTTCATCTATACTTTTTTTTTTCCCTTTTTTTGTGGTGCTGCGGATTGAACCCAGGGCCTTGTGCATGAGAGGCAAGGAGCTATATCCCCAGCCCCCGTCTATACATTTATAACATATAAAAGGCAAAGAACAAACAGAGAAACAGGTAAAAATTTTAGGCTTAAAACAATTGCTCACCTTGGAACTGAATCTACAGAGGATGAAGATGGGACCTTAGAAACTTGACAGTTTGCTGCGGCAGCCAGCTTTAAGGCAGATGATGGAACAGCACTTAAAGTCCTAGGTATATGTCGTGCATTTATGGGGGCAATAGCGTTTACAGGGGCAACTGATGAAGGTACAGTTAATCGAATCTTGTTCCCAATCAGAACCTGAGTTGTTGCAGAATTGGCAGCAGTTACTTGATGACTCAGTGCACTGTGGGAACCTGAAGTCTGTGTAATATTTGAAGGCTGTAACAAAGTTGAACCTGCTGCTGATGAACTTGTATGTACAAGTGCTGTTGGTGTAGTACTACTGAGGTGTAAGCCCTTGTATACTCCTGGAGAGAAAAAGAAAGAAGTGTCTAAACATTATGCAACTTGTGGCTTGTATTACAAATGTTACAAATATAATCAAAGCCAACTTTTAAATGTCTTTATCCTTACCTGAGGCTGGAAGGACACCATTCACCCCAATTCCAAGCACCACATCATCCTTCATCTTGAATCCCATCAGTTGTTCTGATGTCATCAAAGCAGAAGCAGCAAATTGAGCACTAGCAGAATCCAAAGTCTTAGAAACAAAACCCTAGAAAGAAAATGCAAAAGAAATCTAATCAGTATAACTTAGTCTCAAATTAATATTAAAGCTACAAAGGTATACCAAAATCCATTTGATTCTAAACAAAAATGGCAAACCACTAAATTTCTCTTTTGATAGTCATACATTCAAGGAATGAAAAGTTTGTCTAACTAAAGGGTTATGAATTTTGATTTTATGCAATAATACATATGTACAAGTCAATTACCAAAAAGGCCTTTTTATAATGTGGGAATAGCAAACTTCCAAACTCCAACCTAAAATGCTGGACAAGAAATATGCCACTACAACATTTCAGTGATTTGCAAATACACATAATGAATGAATGAATATGTAAACATCTTTTCAGCTAATACACACTCCCACACACAACCAAAGGCACCTTTGGGATTATAAGATAACTACCCCCTAAGAAATGGAGGTAGGAAATGATGACATCATTATTTAACCTAAAAATTGAGAGGCTTGTTGAATTTTTAACAATAAAGTTTCCTGAAAGATTCTTAAAGAGATTGAAATCTTGGCCTTTTAGCATTAAATGTGTCTAAATGGCAAATATTTATCATGCTTTAGGCTTCACAGAGTGATCTCTTTCAAGAGTAAAAGAAGTCATTTTGGTATAACATTTAAAGTCTTAATAATTAAAAGGCCTAAGAAAATGAACTGGGTAGGGTTACATATCAAAGAGGCACATTAATAGACTACAGGTCAGACTCGTAGACATTGTTCTCCATTTCATTTAACTATGCTTTTTTACTTTTTTAAATAGGGAGCAGAGGCAATAGCTTCCATACTCACCTGAAATGTTCTTTCTAAACCCTGTATATTCAGGCGAAAGCCACTTTTCTGCTGGTTAGATGCAAGGTTCTATGACAACAGTTGGTAATTAGAGATGAACTCTGGTGGGAAACAATGAGGGATAATCATAAGACAGACAAATCCCTCACCTGTGAAGTGTTGGTGGAGGAATTACTATTTGCTTGCTGTTGCTGAATTTGTGCAAGCTGCTGTTTCTGCATTAGTGCCAGTTGCTGTTGGTGTTGCTGGTATTGTTCGGCTGTAAATGCTGAACATAAAATGAGGACACACTTTACAAAAATGTACAAGGTATTATATACATCTTATAATACTAAAATAAATCCAATGTTAAAAAAGTTTTTGTGCAAAATTAAAGCATTTGATAAAGGCTCATGATCCTGTTAAAGATCACTTCCAAATGGAAATTTCAGCATTTTTGCTACCACATTTTATGAGAATGGCTTTTATTTAAAGAAAAAGAAAGTTAAGCTTCCTGATATAAACATAGGAAAGAGAACTGCTCACTTCCCAAGTTTCAACGCCATTATTTTTGTAAAGCTGTGACGCTTGTGTTAGACAGTGTAGAAAAGTCATATCAGCTTTTTTAATCCATAGATTTGGAATTCAACTTTGCACTGAAATTGAAAAGAAATCTAATTACCATTTGGTTTCTATTTTATCCACATTACCTTCCAATGCTTTCAGATGATCCCTAATAGTTTTGTGTATAAATACTAACTTCTACATATTTTCTAATTTTAGTCATTACAAAGATTTCCTCTATATGAAAGGTAAGGTTTTGGTTTATTTCCTTTTTTTTTTAAAGAACCCATTCTTTTAAGTTTAACAGGAAGAAAAGAGGTTCCAATGTTAAGGTTAATTAATTTTCCCCACCCAATTAACCCACCTGGAAAAAATCCAGTCAATAAGAACGGAGTTGTTTATGTTGATTTACTGTACAGAATGATGTCTGAGGAAAGACACTGTGTTATGCTACTTATGTTTGTCTATGGAGAGCTCAGTTCTAAAAAAAACAAACAAAAAAATGTTCATTTATTACCCCCCCAAAAAGTGTGTGCAGTTTTTAAAAAGGAAACCTTTTTCTTTTTTAAATTTTTGCCAATTAAAAAAAGAAAAAAAAAAAGCACATACAATCACAATATACCTAACTTTAAAGGCTTCTTTAAGAAGCCTGTCATGTCTGAGTAAACAAAACAAAAAGAGGTTATCATGCATCCCTGGTACGAGGGAATCTATAAATCATGCAAATTTCCTCAATCTAAAGTTTGATGTTTACAAAATATTTCACCTACTTTGTTGTTTAACTGCTAATAATTTAGTTAGAATATCACTTCATCAAGTTTTATAGTTTTTACTTATAACTCAAAGAATCTCTGGCTATACCCCAGGATATTGTTTCTGTCTGATACAACTAGAAAATGTTTAGGTAACAAATTCCATAATATTTTGAATGGATCAGAAAATCATGAAATAGAATTCAAGGAAGACTCAAAAGTTATTCATGTCTAACCAGGCTTTTGTACATGAGCTGAACTAAATTCTTGTTCTACAAGAGCAAAAAAGTAATTTCTTGTTCTAAAAAGTCTACTGTTGGTTTTCTTATTTTGTGTCTGTGTTACAAATTTGTCCTTTCATTAATTCCTTTCCTATTATACTGTAATCTACAGACCTGAAATCTACATAAGATTTATTGATGTTAGATGAATACTGGTAGAAAAGTAACTTTCATCAACATGACCAACCATTTCCATATAACAGGGTCAAAACTTGAAGAGACTTTACACACGTTAATGCTGCCCTGAAAGAATGTTCGTAATTTATATAGTATTTATCCTTATGCTTTGAAACATTTCTGGAAGATCAAGTCATTACTTATCTAGAAAAACAGTAATTTAGTATTCACTGAAAACCTTCATATAAACTTTCATTTACATGAAAGAAAGTATTCTTGAAATTCTTGAAAATGTGTTTTAATTAAAAATTTAGTGATAATTACTTGGAAATCAATACAGAATATTCCAAACATTTTTGTTCTATTTAAATTAACATTTTAATGAGTCTTGAGAATTTGATGAATTTCATTTTTTAAACAACTGTTAACTTCCTCCTAATATGGGTTTAGAAATAAAAATGCAAGCAACAATTAAATCACAAATTACACAACATTTTAGATCACTGTTAGTCTATTTCTTAGATACTGTTATACTGTTTACAGAGTCTAGTTATAAAATTTTGACTAATGTTTTTGCTAAATGGTCTAAAAGAAACAGCAACACAGAGGCTGGTAGGGAAGGTAATAAAAAATAATGGTTTAGGGGCCAAGATACCTAGGTATTTGTAGCCCCTAGCTCCACCATAATTGGCTGAGTATTTTTGAGCAAGGTATTTGTTTTGTGACTCAGTATCTTCATTTAAATGTGAAAGAGATTATATTAGGAGATTATTAGGTTCTTTCCAGCTATATGAAATACTAAGATTTTACTTTTTTTTTTCCTGAAAAATAAAATTCCAAGCCAAAAGAAGGATATATGAATGAGTAGAAAAACTTGGACAATGGTAAAATAGTAAATTTGGGCAAATATGATCTGAACTGGGTTTTATATTATTATGGCTACAGAAAATCAATAAGTGCTCAGTTGTTATAATTCAAAAATCTAATTGTTCTGTGCATGGTGGCGCACACTTGTAATCCCAGCAGCTTGGGAAGCTAAGGCAGGAGGAACGAGAGTTCAAAGCCAGCCTTAGCAAAAGCAACATGCTAGGCAACGCAGTGAGACTCTGTCTCTAAATAAAAGACAAAATAGGGCTAAGGATATGGCTCAGTGTTTGAGTGCTCCTGAGTTCAATCCCTGGTACCAACCCACCCCCATCTAATTAAATGCTAAGTGAAAAGCAAAAATGACCATACTGCCCTAAGTCTCACTGAAGTAGAAAATTTTGTTGCACACTTGCCTCCAGATATTAGTGTGGAGGTCAAATATATAATTCACACAAATAGGGTTATTACGGACATAAGACCAAATCTAGAAATAGAACACTTTCACAGTATCAAACAAAGAAACAAACAAAAGACTGAGATCAGGAGAAACTCTTAGTATTTCCTCATATAATCTCATATTAGAGATCAAGAAATTTCTGCAATCAAACAGATATTCAGTAGGGGAAGAGAAAAACAAAAAATCCCCATCAAATCAATCAAGTGTTTTAATTTAAAAACAAATAGACAAAAATTTTGCTTTAGGTTTAATATCATTTTCAAGAAATAAACTTTTATGTACCAACAGTATGAGTCAAGTAATTTAAAAATCATCACATGTAGAGCACCTGACAAGACTCTATATAGGAGAGAACAGTCATGTGCAGGCTACAATTAAAAGCTGGGGATTAGGACTAGGGAAGGAAGCATGCCAAGACTTTCGTATTCGAAGGGCAATATGATGTTGGAGAGTAAGCATACTCACTCAGATGCTTCCACAGGTAAAACACAAACCTGTAGGTTTAAATTTAAGGAGACAACTTTTGGTTCACTATATGGACAAACTTTCTAACCAAAATCACTCAACCTAAAATAATTTGATTTAGAAAGATGAATTTTTCCCTTATTAGAAATTCAAAAGATAGAAGCCCCCCCCCCCCCCCCCCCCTTTTTTTGTAGCCTCCTAACTAACCAATTTTCTGGGAAGGAATTTGTGTGAAATCACCCGACTTTACAAAACCATGATGTGGCCCAGCAGCACCTGTTGCTTAGTAGTCATACTCCTATAACTGGAGCAACTCTACTAAAATGCTCTAAAGGGGTTAGGTGGGAAGGGTGACAGGTGCTTAGAAAGAAACAAACAATTTCAGGAGCTGGGGTTGTGGCTCAGTAGTAGAGCTCTTGATTAGCACACGTGAGGCACTGGATTTCATCCTCAGCACCACATAAAAATGAAATAAAGGTTATTGTGTCCACCTACAACTAAAACAAATATTTAAAAAATTAAAAAAAGAAAGAAATAAACAATTTCAAAATTCAGTTAGGGAAGACGGAGTCTAGATTATCAAAAGGTATATTTTGTTAGAGACAAACAAAACCCCCAAAACCTATTTTAAAAGATACTGCTGAATTAGAAATTTCTTTGAGCAGTACACAGGCAGAAAATTCTTTCAATATAAGAAAAAGGTAACTTCAAAAGAAATAAATACAAAATGAAATGAATCCAGGTAGTTTACTAAAGTAAGATTCCATAATTAATGAGCTTGAATTGATAAGGTTCATGAGCCCTTTTCAGCCCTTTAGAAATCCAATTTGAAACCCAAAGTTTGTTGTCATTCATTTGGTGGCAAACTATGAATAGACTAGAACACATTTGATTGTGGTTGACCTGAACATGAAAATTATTTGTAGGAAATATTGCTCTTAGTGTGACATTTCTTTAATGTTGCTTTACAACTGTGGAAAAACTACTAGTGCATTGTACTACATGCTCTGCTTCACTCTGCTCATTATGCTGTGCACTATATCTATTTTCTACTGTGAAAAATACGTAATTTTGAAACACTGGTATAACAATTAAGGTCCTGCAGAATTACAAAATATAGTGATTAAAATATTTAGTGCTCAAATCTACAGTTCCTTTTCCATAGTAAGATTAAATATCTGTTATACACTAAAGTGGTTAAGTTATACCTACTGAGATTTAAAATAAGATTCTAGTCATAGATCTTCTCTTCACTTATGAAAACAAATCAGATCTGTAGTATAGATATGTGAGCTTAGAAAAATTATTTACAGTGCTGCTGAAATTTTATTGGAAACTAGGAATTAAAATCCTGAACGTGATCATTCTGGTTTAAATGTCATCTTCTCTTTTCAGTTTTTCTGAATTATATTAGGAGTATGTAAGAATTCCCTCTACGTATGAAATAAATTAATGTTTTTATTTGATATCTCCCAAACTCAAACACACAGAAATGAATACTGAGTCACTGAAAAAACACTAAATTTTCAAAGGTGTATATTTAAAAAAAAAATAGATAACTGTACCTGGAAACTTTCCAAATAACATATTAAATAATTTTTAAAAAAAGCAATTTAAATACGAAAACCTAGTCCCAGAAATTCTAAATATACATTCAAGTCTTTCTAACTTCCTCAACACTGTGCTATTCTGCTACATAGTATGCAGAGGACCAAGTACTCAATAACACCTGAATTAGAAGGCTACCTAACACCTGAGTCATCAGCATATTTTTTTGCTTACATAACTGCAAAATGGCCAAGACTGGGAAGAAAGCAAAACAGATTCTGAGCAACTGAAATAGAGGTTATAAAAGTTGGTGTGTTAAGATTTATGCACTTCACTAGAAGACCAGAAGGCATCACTAGTGTCATCACATAAGTATAAATCTTAATATTTATAACTGGATAAATTAGAATTTTCTATTTAAAAATGAGATGGGCTGGGGCTGTAGCTCAGTAGCAAAGCGCTTGCCTAGCATGTGTGAGGCACTGGGTTTGATCCTTAGCACCACATAAAAATAAACAGATAAAAATAAAGGCATTCTGTCCATATGCAACTACCCCCTGCTCCAAAAAAAAATTTTTAAATGAGAGTAAAGAAGACCTCAAACATGATTAAAAGGGAGTCGGACCAGAAGGCATCACTAGTGTCATCACATAAGTATAAATCTTAATATTTATAACTGGATAATCAAAACATGACTAAAATTATAATCCACATATTTGGCTTAAGCAACAGGGAAGTATATTAAGGTATTCATATATGATATGATGGGTAAGTCAGTACAGTCAAAATTAAGCCTTGAAAATTCCTCTGGAGTATGTCAAACTTCTCTTTCAATAAACTAAACACAGTGTTTTCTCTAGCATCAGATCAAATCAGGGTTTTGTGGGTTTCTTTAAGTCCCAGATGAAGAAATGTGGTTTCTGTCTGGGGACCATGCTGTATGAAAAACATTCTTTTTTAAAATTACAATGATATAAAAGAGGAGAGATTTTTAATCTATGAATAAAGTAGCAAATTGGAACACTGTAAGAAAACAGCAAATAGATTCTCTTCTCCCATTCTAGGCTCACTCTGGAGAACCCATTCAGCAGAAATGCTTTATAGGTAGGTATAACATGTAAACTGCTAAATTTTAGTTCTTTTCTCCAGGGGCCAATAGTTGGAATTCACTTATCTCAAATACACATTAGATACAACTTAATTGTAATTTAGAGTGTAAAAAAGAAAAGCTTTAGGTCTCTGGGATATTCACAAATATGAAAGAATAAATATTGTTAACCTATAGTAGTCTGTAGACATCTATTCTATATAGAAAAATCTGGCAAAATTTAAGAGAAAATTGAAAAGAAGTACCAACAGGAAAAGATACCTCCATCTTTCAATAAACAAAATAGATATCTAGGGGAAAAGAACTGATTAAGAACAACAACTATGAGGTTACTAAAAAATTTTTTCAGCTCATTTTGGTAATGTTCACATTTTAAATGTCAAGTAAGTTTTACAACTGACATTCATATGCCTATGTAAGTAGAACCCAAAATAACCACATGAAAAGGATCATAATAAAATCTTTAGAATATATAAGTTCATTTCTCTCTTTAGAATATATAAGTTCATTTCTCTATTTTAGGGAGAAAAGTAGATGTGGATTGATGAAACAGTTATTTGAGAAGTCTCAAAGGATTTTATACAGCTCAAAAAGGTTAATTATCAGAAACTATTATAAGTTTAGACTTTTAAAATCTCCATACTCACAATGTATGTAAGTCTTCATATTGGAAGTTTTTCATTTTGTTTTTAAGCCTATACAGCAGAGAAAACCTGGCTTTTTGTGATAAAGACACTAAAATTAATGGAATTATAAATAAAGTTAGGCCTCAGAAAAGCTGTTTATTTTCTAGTTGATTTCTGAAATGTGATAATTTTTCTCATGAGCTGAAAGACTCCCATTTCATGAAAGTACTTTTTTGTAACCGAAGTAAATTAGTTTTTGGAACATTTTCTTGAGGACTTCAAGAGTAAGAGCAAATGTTCATATTTATAAAGTGTAACCTTAACAGATGATTAGGGAATAAAGACCTTTTTAATACTTTCAAAAATCTGTATTTAAATTCCTTAAAAAGTTCTAGTGACATGCTTTTAACAGTGTATTTCTATAATCTGTAAATAGAAAGCTAAGGGCTCGGATGTAGCTCAGTGGTAGAGTGCTTGGCTAACAAGGTTCATTGACACCTACAACTAAACTATATTTTAAAAAATAATAATAGAGGCTGGGGCTGTAGCTCAGTGGCAGAGTGCTTGCCTCAAACATGTGAGGCACTGGGTTTAATCCTCAGCACCGCATAAAAGTAAACAAGTAAAATAAAGGCATGCTGTCCATCTACAACTATAAAAATAGTTAAAAAAATAATAATAAAATAGAAAGCTAAGATTAAAGGAATATTTTAAGTAGAGAGCATTTATTTTACGTACATTTCACAATATAGGCATAATAATAAAGTCAATATTATGGGAAAAAAATTTAAATACTAAAATAACTCTTTAGCTTAATTTTTTTTTCTGAAAATGTAGTTTGTTTCTCATAGTTTTCTAAATTATTATTGTGTCAGCATGAAAGTTATACATACCTATTGTCTATTCATCATTACATTTAAGCAGACTAAAATAAAAGACTAGAAGTATTCAAGCATAAAACAGTTAACAAGTAGGCTCCATTTTCTTTTCATATTAACTGAAAATGACTGATGAATGTTGTGGTTCACAGACTTCATTCAGGAACAAATATCACACATTCAGTAGTAACAAATCACCTTTGTATGTGTGGGTAAATGAAGACACACACCTAGAGACTACAGCAATAGTATGACTGAACAGGATTCAAAAAAGTACTTATTACAACAGACCATATACCCCCCCAAATTGGACAAGCCCAACACTTTATGTCTATAGAAATGTACATCACAAATAAACATACCAAAGTGTGCTGAACCACTGCTACTTTTACTTTGCGTGGAGGTACTGCATGTCTGGGTCCCAGGTTGTGCTGTTCCTGTTCGATTTATACTCCTATATAATTTTCTACTGGAGAGTTCATCATTGTCACTGTCATGTAGGGATGGTGTCCGAGGCCTAAAATGCCGCCATCTACATGATTTGATATTGACTAGTATCTGACTGAGGTCTTTAGAGAAAGATTTGTCCGAGGTATTTGTTTCTGAGGTATTGGCAAACTGATTGACTGGAGAATGTTGTGGTGAGGAAAGCATTTCCAAATCCAGATGGCGAAACATACTGTCATATTCTGAATGAGCTCTGTCCAGTAAGACCCTATTAAAAATAAGACATGTAATGTTTACTTAAAATCACAATTCAGAGATTATATAAAAGATTTTTTGATCTCAACTTAAAAAAATGGAATAAAAGCGTACTAAGTATTTAAAATCATAAGATAAAGTTGATTATTTCAGTTTTTGGCTCTTTTAGGCCAAAATCTCATTTTTTTCTTTTTTTTTTTTAGGTGGGAGGCACTGTGGACTAAACCAGAGGAGCTTAACTACTGAGTCACATCCTTAGCTATACCCCCGCCACCTTTTATAAATTTTTTATTTTGAGATAGGATCTTGCTAAGTTGCTTAGGGCCTCATTAGGTTGCTAAAGCTACCTGCGTCAACCTCTAGAGTCGCTGAGTTTATAGCCACGTCAGGCTCAAAAATCTCAATTTTTGATACAGGTTCTATTTTTCAATTGGTTGTCAACCAAAAATTTTATTTATCTTTGTTTTCAGCGACTCTGCAATTCCTTTCCTTCCCCAACAACTCACAAAGGTCTTTAGACTATGTAGGAAGAAAAATTAAATCCTGACAAACTGGGATGTAAAGATTGGGTCACATATGGATTCTTTTAGTTAAAAAGTTAGACAAACCATTATTTTAGTTAACATGACAGTTTTGGGCCTATTTGAGTCCCTTCTCCCAGAACCCAACATTTTTTTATAGTCTTGTTTAGCTTAATACAGTATGTGCAATAAGGACTTATTTACATTCATCCATTGCCTTTTCTTAGAATTCTATCCCTTGATAATTTAACTGAGGTATTCCACCTTGGGAAGAAAAGGAAATTCATTTGGGATTCATTAATAGTTATACATTATGTAAGCTATGGTTGTATATGAAACGAATAGCAGAGACAAAAATATTTCAGTCAACAAATCAGTTAAGAACAGCAAATAGTAACTGGTAAGCTGTTTAGAAGGACTGTCTTACTTTAAACTCTGAATTTGATTACTTTACTGTCTAAAATATTCTATACCGGGATGCTGAAATACCTTACCTTCCACCGCGCCCAACCCGTCTTCGTGCAAATCCAATACACCTTTGGGGTACGGTGAGAGTAGTCAAGCAGTATCTGTATCGCACATCCCCTAATCCTCCATCCTTAGGACTAGTCCAAGGCCAGTTGCCAGTTTGGTCTAAGTGAGGCTAAAAGAAAGTCCAAATTATTTTATTTCATCAGTTAAATGCAAATAGAATGTTATTTACAAATAAGGTCTGAAACTTACAGCATAGTACTGACAGCCTGCTTTCCTACGGAAAGCAAAAGGACCATCAGGATCATTCTCTTCCTCAGCTTCCGAAGAGCCAGACAAAACCTTTAAATACAAAATAAATGAAACAGGTTAAGCATGTGACTTTCTACATTCCTCTCCTATGTTAATAGAGACATTCTCATATTTTTACCTGGGAGAGAGGTTCTTCATCTGAGCTGGGAAAGTCATACTGATTTAAATCTTTAGCATTAAAGACTGGCAGTGCAGGACTCGTCTGTTGAGGAGTAGCAGCAGCAGACGACGGTAAGACTTTGGGCTTCTTTTCGTATTTCCGTTTCGGTCGGATAAGATCAGTTTTATCTTGCTGCAACAAAGATGTGAATTAATTATATACTAGAAACCATGTTTTACAAAATTTCAGTTTTTTTGAAATTAAAAAAAAAAGAAGCTTATTGCTATGATGAAGGTGTTCATATTCATAAGGTAAGACTTTTATGTCTGGTCATCTTACGTTGTAAAGAAGTTGATCTCTGTGAAAGCATGAGTATATTGTACAATCTAACATAGTTCTATAAATCATTTTGTTTTAAAGAAAGTATAAAGATAGAACAGATGTTCTCCAGTATTTGCCACTGGCTCCCATAATTTCTGTTTATTTTCTGTGAAAATTCTGAAGAGTGGGGGTGATATGTAGGCCTTAGTCTCAAACAATAACAAATCAATATAGGAAAAATAATAATAAAAATAACTTTACCCAAACACAAAGCAAACTACAGATAACTGTCAAGAAGGTAGTAAATAAAATTATAATGTTGAAGAGTAATAAACATAAATAGTAAGGACTTGCTACCTGAACAATAACAAGTCTTTCTGGAGTGTTAGATTTTGAGCAGTGCCAGAAGACACAGATATAAAAATCATTAAATAAGGGAAACACCAGGATAAAACAGAGGCAAGACTAAGTTGACAGAACACAGTGCGTGTTAGAAATATGTATGTTAGATGATGGCAAAAGTTAGGATAAGTATGAATTTGACATGTAGGCAACAGGTAAGGATGAATTAGAGGCAAACATATTTGTTAAGAAGAAAAAGGTCATGGCAAAAATTATGGTATGTAAACATATTAAGAATTCATATTCATTCTTATGTAATTTATGGTATTATAGTTTACTGGGAAAAGTTAACTATTCAATTATAAAGTATCTTTCTACAATTTCTACTGTTGTACTGAGAAGAAAGACTTGAATTGAAAGCTAATTGCACAGCAAAACATTATTCAAAAGTTATTATAAATGGTCTCCTGTAATGGCTACATTATTAGCTACCATTTTTCTTTAAAACATAATTAAAATGAAACAGTCCCTTTAAGAATTCTGTCTTAATTTAGAGGAATTTAAAGTACCTGCAAGTGTGAGGGCTCATATTTCTGGCACATAGAGAGAAAAGTAATATCAGAATTAAATAAGAGTTTAATCTGGAAATATAACTGAAGGGTAACTAACACTGGATTCAGGCAGGGGAAAACCACACAGGAGAGTCAGATAGGGGAACCATAGATTTAAAATACTAAAAGTAGGAAAATAGCCATTCAATTTTAAAGGCATAGTTAAATTATAAAAGTGGAACATAAAATTTAGATTAAGTATAAAATTTTAATGTCCATGGATCATATCTTTATATAAGTAAAAGGAAAAATTCTTGTATAACCCTTACTTTCTAGATGTACTATCTATATTACAAACTATTAAAGAGATACACCTGAATTACTATTTATACTTTTTATTTTGCTTACGTATAGATGTGTTCACAAAAGATAAATTTCACTTATTTCTCCCTAACCCTTCATATTTCATTTGTATTACTTCAATACCTGATAATCCTACTACTAGTAAAATACTCCTTTTATCAGATATAGTAATAAACTCTACCTTTATAAGGAAATAACCAAAATAAAAATAAAGTTTTAATTACAAATTTCTGCTTTTTTAATAAGCAGCATACTTCATGGTAGGGTCTTTTTTATGTGCTTTTACTTTTTTGGGAGGGCGGGAGGTGGGGGGGTATGGGGATTGAATTCAGGGGCACTAGACTGTAAGCCACATCCGCAACCCTAATTTATTGAGAGAGAGGGTCTCATTCAATTGCTTAGTGCCTTGCTTTTGTTGAGGCTGGCTTTGAACTCCTGATCCTCCTGGCTCAGCCTCCTGAGGTGCTGGGATTACAGGTTTGCACCAGTGTGCCCAGCTGTGTTTTCACTTTTTATTCTCATTCTAATGATAAAATATCATCCCATTATCTGATACTATTATCACAAAAAAGTTTAATCACCTTATTAACTTTAAACTCCTTCACATCCATTACTTCCTGATGTTTAAACTGACTGCTATTAGTAATAGGGATGATGGGGATGGCATAAGTAGGTTTCATTGGCTGTCTCTGTGCCATAACCTCAGACATGATCTCTCCATTGTAGTCACCCAAATTATACCTGAAATGATAAAAAACGAAGTTTAAAACAATGATATACAAAGAGCATGTGATGTTTTGATAAATATACATACTGTGAAATGATTACTATGATGAAGCTAATTAACATATCTATCACCTCACAGTATGTAGGGGGGTCTGATTTCCTTGAAGCAAATTTCAAGAATACAATACATTGTTATTAACTATTCTGTACATTAGGTCTTCAGAACTTATTCATTTTATGACCACAACTTCATACCTTCTGATCAACATACAAAAATGTACAATCTTTACTTGTCAATTATACCTAAATAAAGCTGGGAGGAAAATAAAGTTTAAAAAAGTTACTTTTGAAAGTATAAATCCTTATGACTATTTTATAACTGAAATATAATTATAAACATCAATTGGACATAAGGTAATTAAGTCTAGTTAAACCTGAACTATTTGCTGAATGTCTATTAAAATTAAAGATTAAATAATCCTTTTGTTTCTTCCTTCTACTTTTTTGTCTCATAGCTTTTTCTTGACACATAATGACACTGGGAAAAAAGAATACTTGGAATCTTGCCTTAACAATTTTGGTGAAAGATTGGTGGAAAAGTAGAAATTAATGCATAAAATGGTGTTGAGAAATTTCCTACTAATTGTAACTGTCTGTACTAAAACCCAAATTTCTTGTGATTTCTTTCAGAAAAATTAAACAGTGATTTTCTTACTGAGAAATATGGCAGTCAGACTTGAAGTTTTTGTTGTGTACCTCACTACCATTCCCCCTTCTTTTCTTTACTTTTTTTATTAAAACCACCAATTATTTAATGGGCTGGGGAAATAGCTCAGTTGGTAAAGTACTTGTCTAGCATGCACAAGGCTCTGGGTTCAATCCCCAGTACCACAAAAACAAACAAAACCCAATTATTTAAAAAGTGTGTGTATACATACATATAAATAATTAGTACTATCAAGTGAATAAAACAAAATACAAAAATGTTCTCTCTCTCAAAGCCCTATACACAACAAGTAAGAACAAATGAAAGAGATTTCAAAATGGAAAGAAATATCTGATACATTTCACAGTTAGTGAGCCCAGTCACTTTTAAAGAAAATAAAGACAGGAATACATGTAAAATTATACAAGCTTAGTATCACATCACACATTTAAACAGTTTATATTATTAAAAGTATATATTCTGTAATTACAGATAATTGCTCAGGAAATAAATTAACTCAATATACCAAAATGCTACTGCTACCATACTTCCTAATACTATTAAAATATACTTTACCTCTTTTCCATAATTTCCAGTGTTAAGTGCAATAGCTCCCTTTTACTCTTTTCTCTTCTTTTTATCATTTCTAGAATAGTAACAGCCCGACTTAGATCTCGACGCAGCTTAAGCATTTTTTCATAAGAGGCTTCATCATTTTTGCGATTCTGCAAATATTAAAGTTGCTTGTTTAATGTCAATAAGCACTCCTAATTAGTAGCACTGTGAGCCAAGTTACTGATACTTAAGAATGTATACATTTGAAGGGTTAATTGGAATTTAAAGACATTGGAAGAGAGTATGGATCACCAGGAAATCAATTTTGTATAAGATTTTTAAGGGTATTAACATTAAAATATACCAGTACCAGCTCTACAGTAAATCTTAAGGTCAACTTATTTTCAATTATATCTTTCATTATAATTGTAAAGAGACACATTTAACAAAAATTAAATCAAAGAATTGAGATTAATTACTATAAATAATTTTTACAGATTTAAAGAAAAAAAAAATCCAAAGTCACTTACTTTTCGAGTCTGCATTTTTTCAGTACGTCTTCTAAAAGCCACATAAGGATCATTTGTGCTGGAACCATCTCGCTTTTCTTGTTTTACTGATGGGATAAGAGATGGCCCTCGACAGTTCTTTCTCTTTTTAATCCAGTATTCATAAACTTCTCTAATTAGTTCATCATCTTCTTTTAGCAGTAGTTTGGCTTCCTGCAGACTGACTGGCTAAATATAAAAACACTGTGTCATTTTCATATAATATATAGGGTTCAAAATTGTTATGTCTCAATTTAAATGACAATAATCAAAACTACAACAGTATTATACAATAGCAAACTTACATATTGTACCTTATACACTTAGCTAGGTGCTCTAAGCACACTCATTATTTTATCTAATTTTCACAATAATACAATGAAATTTATCATCTACATTATGGACAAGGAAACTGAGGCACAGAGAAATTTAAAGATATTGCTCAAGATTATACAGGTTAATAATAGGCAGAGATGAGATATGAATTCATACTTTTTTTTTTTGGTTTGTGGGCACACATTTTATTGCACTTAATTTTTTATATGTCCATTTCCCCAGCAAAACATATTTATTCATCATTTTAATCCTCATAGCTCAGCACAGGGCCTGGCACAGAGTAGGCACTCAAATACTTGATCTTGAAAGCATGACCACTTATGCAACCATAATCCCCCTTCTACAGTATGAAGTAGGTGGATATTCAGCGTTCAGCTACTTTTGATGTACATTTTGCAGAATATATAATTCCCAAATTATATTAGTGATTTCACACTTTAAAAAGCCAGCCCATATTGCCTGCACACCACAACTTTTACCTTCCCTTTATTTTCTTTGTTCTTTCCATTTATAAGAGCCCTGGTCCACTGAACAATTTTTGATCCTATAAAACTTTTTTAGTTCAGTTTTTGTCACATATAAAAGCTGTATGTCGAGACTGAAGATTATCCACTATCTTCTTTTCTATCTCTATACCTTTTTCTACATCTTCCTCTGATAGCAATAACTTGGTTTCTGAGTCTTTGGTAACAATAATAACAAAGGAATGTATTGACTCAAGGATATTAGCCACCACCAGTTGATGTTGATAAACTTCCAAAGCATTCCGAGCACGATTAATTACGATAGAGGGGTCGGTCTCCAACTTAAAGGAAATTATAAAGGCTTTGGGAGTCCAATCTTTAACCAAAGAATAAAGCATTTTTGGCACCATCTTCATTGTTATCTGCAGTGGGTCCCCAAATGACTGGATCTTGTGTTCAGGCATTTCAGAGACAGGAACATAGAAATCTGACAGGGCCGCAGCTAGGTAAAACATCGCAGAAGGCCCTAGTGGACTGAGGGCTTGGGTAGCAGCCTTCAGCAGATGCAAATAGTCTGCCAAAGTGGAGAACTCTACAGCCAGGAAGGTGCCGGCAGCCGCTGCTTCTTGGTAGCTCCTCAAAGCCACAGCGAAGCCCAGGAGTGCATTCTCCTCGGCCTCCAGGCTCAGCACGCCAGACTTAGTTGGGCCAGAAGGCCGCAGGACCGACAGCCAGGTCTGAAGTGGGAAGCGGTGGGCAAAGAGGAAAGAGGACCGAGCGCGGTACAAGAACAGGACCCAGTAGCCTGCAGCCAGGAAGGCCTTGGCCGAAATTGCACCGAGCCGCTGCAATGCTGAAGTTGTCCAGAAAGCGCACTGGCTGCGCTTCCAGAGGGACCTTGGTGGCGCCTGACGTGACCAACACCACCCACCGGCCCTGTGCGCCTAGCCCGGCCGCGAAGCGAGCCATAACCGCGGCAGAGCAAGCAGCACCCGAAGGCTGGGGGAACTCGGAGACGAGGTCCATTTCCTCCATCAGTGCCGGAGTTCCCTGCGCACGCCCCTGAATTCATACTTTTTAAACATCAAAGCCTGCTCTCTTAGCTCCCTTCAGGATCACACAATTTCAATAAAATATAGGCATTTACACAGTACATACATACATTATATGAAAATGGAATTGTACCTGCTGACCACTGCCTTTTTCTAGACGGTCAATCATTTCCTCAAATTGCAATGGACAGATGTCCATTTTCTTTTTTAATTTATTCACAAATACTTCATCTTCAGAATCCAAATCATAATCAGGCTGTTCAGCATCCAAACTAAAAGCTGACAGAAGAAACCATAAACAATCATTTGCTGTGTGAATTCATCAACAAAAACTTCTCACAGATGTCTGGATAAAAGCAAGACCTGGATTTTCTAAGGAAAAAAGATTTTTAGATTTTGCTTCAGAGCCACAAACAATCTAAGTTCACAGATATATTATTCATATTCACCTTTACTACAAATAGATAAAAATGATAAAAGACAATGAATAGGATACCCTCCACCCACTCTAAAAGCAAATAAACTAGAAGTCCTTTACTAAAAACATCAAAGGATTATTAAATGTGTCTGGTGGAACCATGTGGAAATGCCATTTTTGTAGCTCAAAAATCACATATTAGCAATTTCATATAGTTTACCATAATATAAAATGATATGGTCCTTATGTCATTATTTTTAAGTCCTATCTTACAGATCATTAAACTACTTTACCAAAAGCTTAGGGACTGGTAGTTAAAGATGAAGTGTTAAAACCCACTACCAATAACAGTGACAGCTGTCAGTGAGTGCATTCCTGCCAAGGAGATTTATTCTCCTTGAGAATCACTATCATGACAATGGAAATGTGAGGTTTATTTCACAGATCTGTCATCAAGAATCACTTGCCATTCAATTATTTATCCAAATTAAGCTAGGTTGTTATTGATATAAGCAAAAATATTAAATAGTTTGATATAAAAATATTTCCTGCCCTTCTCTTGGTTAATTCCTTCTCCCTTAGAGTCTAAATACTCATACACTAAAATGGTATGAGGATCTTTTTACCTAGTCTCTCTAATGTCATCTGTACTTTATGAACCAGCAATGTTAAACTTTATATATTTCATAGAGTGTGCTATTAGCTGTTTTCTGACTACCCACAAAATACGCCAATGCCTATTTAATGTTTTTAATATTCAGTCAAATATCACTCCTTTGGAATCCTTTCTTGACTGTCCCTCACCCAATAAGTGATTCCTAACTTTCCTTAGTAGAAACTAGGAAGCCTCACGCCAGAAAAATAGGTTGTATAAAAGTGTACACTATGTTATATAAATTACAGGCAATTCAGACATGTACCTAAAAGTTATGGCACACAGGTTAAAAAAATCTGCTCCAGATTACTTTCTTTCTATCATACCATTTTCTGTATATACTTTATAATCTACTTGTTAAGCATGTACCTCCCCATGATCTCTTTTAAGGGGAAGCATATGTGCTCTTTTTATCTCCACATCTCCAAGTGGAAATAAAGTAACATATTTCCTCTTGTATGTCATCTCTGCTTGAAAATTAATAGTATTCTAATGTTATGAAAAACCAGTCATCCATTAGTAAAGTCTGTGATAGATTAAGAGGAAAATATTTGGCTACCAAATACCAGCCATCATGCTTCAAGCTTAACATAGTAACTGACCCAGAGGAATCCAGTATATACATGAAGAATTAAATGTACTATTAAACTATTTTATTTTCTGCTTTGACCTATACCACTTACTTAACATTCCTGATTTAAGTAAGTAGATATTCAGACCCTATAAAAATCTCTAGATATTAGTCTCTCTGAATGATTTTCCATAATTTCATTTTGTTTGCAACTATACATAAACACGCTTTTGGAAATCTTTAAGGAGACTGAAACTGTTAGATTAAAAACACTTGATTCTTTTTGTTCCTAACCAAATTAATTCTGATCTGTGTTGTCCCATATGGTAACCCTAAGCTATATGTAGCTAATTGAATTTGTATTAATTATGTAAAATTTAGTGCTAAATATCTAATGTGCCTAGTGGATATTCTGTACTAAACACTAAAGATTATGTCTGTCATTATGAAAAGTTCTACTAAAGAGGGCTAATTCAGATATTCCAGAAAGCCAAATTCACAGAGACTAACTACCAATGTTCTGCCTTCCAACATTTGTATTTTGAATATTTTTAGGATCTCATCTATACAATATACTTTGGTATCCTCCACATAAAATTTACTTTTCTTTAGATCAAATCACAATCACAAAATTTAACTATTCATGAAAACTGAAAAAGCTTATTTAGTATCACCTTTATTTTTACATCAAACAACAACAACATACTTCTGGTATAAATTGTATTATCAATGACAAATCACATTCAACATATCAGGCAACTGAAGCAAGACTAGAAAGTAAGATTTCTATCACATCTATCAGGGAGCTCAATGTCTTTTCCATTGAAAGGATATGACAAAGTCCTCTTACCTTTGTAAGAGGATTTTCTAAAATAATAAACATGACGCTACTTGTTAGAGAATATTAAAATCCTATAGCAAAGCTAACATGTAAAGATCTACTTTAGACTATACAAAGCTCTCATAAAAAAATTTACTTTAGGATGATATTAATGTATAATTTAGCATTAGGTGAACCTGCAGCTTCCAACTACAGCTCAACCTGAGCTGATAAAGATGCAGCAATATTTACCATTGCCTTAGACATAGTATTGCTGTAGACTTTCTGGACTCGTTAATGAAAAGAAAGGGATGATAAAAACCTAATTAGGTTCTGTCAATTAAAATGAGACCTACCTAGTCAGTTGTTGTTAAATAATAGAAATGACTCTTTAAAATACCGATAAACCCAGATTTATGTATAATTAAAAACAACAACAACAACATGCTGAGGGTGTTGTGGCTTAATGGTAGAGTCCTTGGCTAGCATGTACATACTAGTTCCTCATTCAATCCCTAAAACCACAAAGCAAAAGCAAAACCAACCAGTATTAGATGTGATTCACAGATGTAAATCTGTTATATAAGTCTAAGGGAAAAGAACACAAAATACATAAAAATCGGTTAGATATTTTTATGAGGAAATAAAATGTGGACGATGGCCCCTAGGGGATGCCTAAAACCTTGGACAGTAAAAAAAACATATAATTAATGTCTTTTCCAACTTAACTAAGTACTTATCAAGTACTGTGGCCCTAACTTTTGCAGTGTGAGATGCAATAGCAAAGCTAGTATGAATTTCTTCTTCCTTCTTCATAATTTTGCAGACAGGACATTCATTCTTATCATACATTTTAGCAACCACAGCATGTGATTTTTTTTTAAGTTGAGAACTTTCACCTTTTCACTTAAAGGAAGGACTTTATATCTTCTCTTTGGCATCACTGCTTTTGTCCTTTGGGGCTTTTATCAAATAAAATTAAGGTTACTTGAACAAAAGCACAGATGCTGTGACACCTGTTTTGATAACCTAGTTACCTATGAATGGCTAATGAAGGGGTAGTATACACAGTGTGGATACGTCAGAAAAAGGAACACTTTATGTCTCAGGAAGGATGAACTATAATTTAAAACTCATGAATTGTTTATTTCTGGAATTTCCCGCTCAATATTTTCAGATCATGGGTGATCATGAGTAACTGAAACTTTATAAATAAGGAGGAGTTACTATATTTAGAGTCTAATAATAGAGGTGCAATGATATGAATGTCTATTAACAGTGCCTTTCATGGGTCAAACTAAGAGTACATTGGGTGGATATGTCCATAACTCTAAATAGCATTCTGAAAATGCAAGACACAAATAGTGAAACGATATCTGGGTTCAAAAAATAGCACAAAATATGGATTAGGGACAGAATATAATCCCTGACGCTGAGGAGGAATTTCTCACACCAGTTTTGATGCAAACATTATTGGTAAAGTCAATAATAGGGGTAAAATTTTCCAACTAATGTTTGATGAAATGTTGATACATAACATGTAATAAAGAGATCTGAAAAATGATGGATTAAAAGTTAAATAAATTGAATATCTCAAGACTGTAAGAGCCTATAAAACAGCACTAATATGCATATGACTCTGGGTGCTGGGGGAGGGGAACAAAATATGCAAATTCCCAAACATATTTAATCATAGTCTTTTCAGGGAATACAAATTATCTATTTAAAAACTCCAAGCTTGCATAACATTAGTTTAGGAGCAAACTGGAAATTGGGGTACTTGAAATGAACCAGTTCATTTGTTTAGGTAAAGTTCCTAAAGAATTATACATATACACTATACATATAATTATAGAATTCCTAAAGAATTCAAGAACAACTTACTAGATCACCTAGCAGCCTGTATTTAATTTTACCTTTGTAAAAATTTGCACTATAGCTTTTCCTTATTTTAGTATATTAAAAACTAATACAGGGCTGGGGTTGTAGCCTCAGTGGCAGAAGGCTTGCCTAGCTCGTGTGGGGCACTGGTTTGATCCTCAGCATCACATAAAAATAAACCAAAAAAGGGCATTATATCTATCTACAACTAAAAATTAAAAAACAAAAACTAATACCAATTTTTAAAAATTAACATCATTTTTATTCAATTTCTTCTAGAAAACAAAAGAGAAAGAACACTTTCCAGCTCCATCTATGATGCCAGTATTACTGATACTGAAACCAGACAAGATAGATACTGAGACCTTTCATAAACTGAGATGCAAAAATCCTTGGTTAGCAAAAATTCTATCCAATGTATGAGAAAAAATGTCTGAGGGGCTGGGATTGTGGCTCAGTGGTAGAGCGCTGCTTGCCTTGTACGTGTGAGGCACTAGGTTCAATCCTCAGCACCACATAAAAATAAATAAAAGTATTATGTCCATCTACAACTAAAAAAAAAATCATAAAAATGATATATTCCAAATATGGAAGTGTAGTCCAATATTTGAAAATCAATAAGTGTAACCTACCATACATATTAACAGGCTGAGGAAGAAGAAAAAGAAAAAACCACAGGATATCAATTGTTGCTAAAAGAGCATGCAGAAAAAATTCAACATCCATTCATGATAAAAATTCTCAGTATGAGAACTAGGGGGAACTTCAACCTCATAAGAAACCACATGAAAAAAATCTACAGGGTCTGGGGTTGTGGCTCAGTGATAGAGCACTTGTCTAGCACGTATGAGGCACTGGGTTCAAACCACAGCATCACATAAAAATAAATACATAAATAAACCCTACAGCTCTCTGTACCATGCACAGCCAGAGGAATGAGAAGTTGTGCTCCATTTGTGTATAACGAATGTGTCAAAATACATTCTACTATCATGTATAACTGATTAGAACAAATTTTTAAAAAAGAAAAAACTAGAGCTAACTTCATATTTATTAATGACATTGAATTATCCCCTTCTAATAGTAGAAATGGGGCAAAGATATTAGTTATCTTGCCACTCTTATTTTTTAGCTCTCATCACTCTCATTACTCACATAGTACTAAAGTGCCTGCCATTATAATAAGACAAGAAAAGAAATTAAAGGCATGCAACTAAGGAAAAAAGCAGGGGAGCTCTAAAAGACTCCCAAGATAATTCATAATTATACAGTCAGAATTTAATATGTTGTCTCTTTTTTCATTTTGTTGTTGTGATCTGTTATGAGACAGGGTCTCACTGTGTTACTCAAGCTGTGAATTCCTGGGCTCAAATTACCTCCCTCTTCGTCCTCCTGAGTATCTGGGACTACAGGTACATGCCAGACCCTGTGTCTATGTCTTAAATGTAATTAAACAAGAGTGTACAACTAAAACAAACTGCTTGTGGTTTACTATAAAGAAACCCCTAGTGAATTGGAGAAATTCTTCTTTTAAAGGAAATGAATACTGTTAGGCCAAAGAGTTAATGATGAAAAAAAAAAAATCACAAGTTAAAAAAAATCAGAATGTCAATATATAAAAGCCAAAATGGACTACACTTTTGGCTTTTATATTTAAAAACTGTGAAATCAGTGTTTATAATCTGGGACAGAAAAAAATGAATCATATAGGGAAAGGGTTAAAAGAAGCAGAAAACTAGCTAATGAGTTAAGAATTAGTTAAAACTGGTTCTCAATGTGCTTACATGGATTAGAAAAAATAAAAATAAAAAACCCTAAAAATAAAGATATAGTAATATATTAAGACATATTAATATACTAAGGCTACAAACTCTGTTCATTATCACCAAATATGGTAGATATTAAAGGACCATTTCTACTGGAAAAAAACTAACAATACCAAGTGAAACAAATTCCCAAGTAGAACATTAAAGTTTTAAAAACTAGCATATCACTCTGCTAGCAGAAAAAAAACACACCAGGGCTTAGCAAACTATGGCCCACAGGCCTACTCTGGCCTGCCACCTATTTTTATGAATAAAGTTTTATCAAAACACAGACATGTTGATTTGTTTATGTATTCTCTACAGCTGCTTTGATACTACAATAGCAGAATAGTTGTGCCAGAGAATGAATGATACCCCAAGTCTAAAATATTTTTTTATCTGATTCTTTACAGGAAAAATTTGCTAAATTTGACTTAAGAGTTAACACTTTTAATATTATTAATTCTGAAAAGAAAGAAAACTATTTCCATTCTGAGGCATATTCTTTATCCTATTTGTCTAAAGCAGCCTAAGATCCCATAGTGGAATAAAACTGAAAGTCTATGATGAAAAATGCTAATAATTTTTGGTCAGATATCTCAAAAACCATTTTAGAAGGAGAAAATGTGGTCTAATAACTCTCAAGTTGATGTTAGTCAGCAGGTATCTGTGAGGTTATATAAATATGAAAAAATAACAATCATTAAAAAAAGTAACTACTTACGCTGTATGTGAATGAGCTGCTTTGGCATCTTAAATTCCCCAGGATATATAGATTCATAGTAAGCAATATTACTCTCTGCCTCTGGAACTGGTATAACCATGTTATCCCTCTTCTCGCCATATACCTGCTGTGCTGAAATAGCCCGCTGAAGATGATGTTCCTAAAAAGAGGGGGAAATAATGTAAGTTTATGTATTTAAGGAGCAGCAAATAGAAAATATAGTCATGCAGAGGTTTTTGCTCATTTGTTTTTAAAACAGCTATATTTTAGTAGTAGGTCTTGAAAGCATGGTGTTAACAATACAACTAATGGTGTAAACATTTTAAGTAGAAATGAGAAGATTTTGCTACAAACACTTGACTCCTCAGTTTTTCTGCACCTTTACTTAAAAGGTACTACACCAAATGGAGTTATAAAGATTTTTTAAAAGTTTACTAAAACTGAGATGAAAGAAAATATCTGAACTTACTACATGAAGAAAGCAAACTGTGTATAAAAATTATTTTATTGATTCAAATCTATTCATACAGTACTTTGTAAATCTAGAATTTTCTTTTAAACAAATCAACTGATAGAATCTTTACAAAGACGGGTAGAAATTATTATCTTCTCCATTTTTAGTTTATGAAATTGACACAGATTAAAATCCTGGTCATTTGTCTTTCCTATCAACTACCAGAGCCTTTCCTGGACAGCAGCAGAGTTGTGCCCTAGACCTAGACTCAGGCCGCATGGATTAGAATCTAACTCCAACACTGAAACAAACTGACTCCTGGCAAGAAGCTTTAGTCTTCTAAAACTGTTTCCTCCAGTAAGAGATAAATGCAATCTACAGAGTTGGTTGGAGATTTTAAGTAAGATAAATGTGAGTAAAATATTTAGTATAACAGATGCTTAAATTTTGGTTGTTACCATCCAGAAAGGTTTTATTAGTTTGATACTAGTACCAGCTGCCATAAAAATATTGTTCTCACCCAGTTATATCAACACTGAATTTTGGCATATACTTTATTAAACAATTATAGGTACCTGTGTATTACATAAATGTATCACTAGTGAAAAACATTATTCCAACAGTATGAAAAGTTTCAGTCTTCTTAGGTAGTCCCAGTTAAGAATGCATATATTCTTCGAAAATATATGTGTATGAATATATGTATGATCTTATTAAAGAGTAATAGTGTTTTTATTTTTATGTAGTTAAGAACATGACTTCTGTAAATAATACCCTGGATTCAAAAAATGGTTCCACAGTCTACTAGGTCAATGACTTTGGGACTTGTGAAAAATTATTATCTCCCAGGATAGTTTTATTATCTGTAAATGTACATTATATGCCTACCATATGGGATTGTGGTTAAGAAAAAATGCCTAAGATATAATAAGTACCCAATACCTGGTAGATGATGGCTATCTTTCCCCTATTAATGAAATAAAAGTTTTACATAGGTTTAGTTATCATTTATGACATTGCGTATGAATAATATTCTGTAAAAAATCACTTATTTACGTTTATATCCATTTTTCACAACTATGAAATAAAACTTTTGCTTATCAATATTACAGTGAATACTCAATGCTTTAAAAATCTTATATGTGTTTTATGTTGTATAGTACATCTCACATAAATAACTTGCTCATATCTTCAACAGTCAAGAAAATACTTCCCCTTTATATATGGTATATAGTGGAAAGATGTCATAATGTATACAACATACTTTCTACAGTTCCATAAAACATGCAGGATTCATAGATGAAAAAAACTGCAAAATATTAACCATTGTAGAATCTAGGTGGGTAGTATGGAGATGTTCATTGTATTGTTAACTTTTATAAAAATTTGAGAAAATTTACAATGAAAAAACAAAGAAGAGGGTTCTAATTCTAAGGGTCCTAGATGTATATAATACACAGCAAAAATGGTTAAGTTATTCTATTTTTTAAAAGTCTCAACAACTGGGGTAACTATTACCCTATACAATTTATATTTATTTCCTCCCAAAGTACTAAGTTTATGAGAAAGGGAGGAGACCAAATATATCAGGGTAGCTGGAGAATAGTGAGGTGGGATAGTTGACAACTGCATGTACATGGGGTTTATGTGCCAGATCATGCACTCTTAGGGGTCATGTAAAGGATTTCCTCACACACATACACATTAAGAAGTACAATATTTAATGACATTGATAATAGAGTAAAAGGGCTAATCTGAAAATTGTATGTTAAGGAAATTTAATATTTTAAAGACACAATTGAACATATCTAATATGTAGAAAAAGGTCTAAAAGCATATACATACATAAACTAATCAACTTTTTAACTTTTATTCCCTTCTTTGCTTTATTTTTTTCATTGCACTTAATCTTATAATATAGTTGGTGTGTTTACTGTCATCACCTACCTGTTCCCTTACTTCCAATCTAAGCATCATGAAAGCAGAAATTTTTGTCTATTTTGCTTTCTGCTATAATATCACTATTCTGAAATGGTGCCAGAACAGAGCATGGTGCTTAAATGGTGCATGCACGGGTGTATGTACACCCACATAAATATACATGCATACATACACATATAATTTCAAAGTATAATACCAAAAGATTAACAGTGTACCTCTGGGTGGCACACTTTTGAAACTTACTCTTTCATACTTTTATTTCTCATATTTTCTAAATGATTCTTGCAGTACTTTTTTTTTTTTTTTTTACACATAAAAATCTGAATTTATTACACTAAATGATTTTCTAAATGATAATTTCTAAATGATATACTTTACATTCGTTGTATGTGTAGCTTTTCAGGTAAAGAAAGTATTTCAAAAATCTAAATCTATATACATTTATTTCCATGAACTAGCATTCAATTTTAAGTGAAAAACGGGATTGCTTTTGCTTTGAGCAGGGAGATGTAAATTACAAAGCCAAGTAACAAATCAATTAGAATATATGCTCTATACTCAATTATTCACTGAATGCCTTGATCAAATACCTAAGATGATACAACTCTAAAGTACAATTATAAAAAGTTCAGAAGTTCCTTGAACATAGTACCTATCAGTGAAAGTTTTAAAGCAATCTATTTTCTGCTCTGAATAGGCTAGCATCCCCAAACTTTGTTCCCTGGGATACTCATTTCAAATTATCAACAGATAGTCTAATAAAGGTTTTAGTAGTCTATATCCATGAAAACAGAACAACTTTTCTAAAAAGAATTATTCATTAATAGCTCATACAAAACTTTTATAATACAGTTAAGAAGTGATGGTATAGAAAGAAAGCTAGAGATATAAAACAGAACATCTGGGCTTAACTTTGTTTATTAATTAACAGTATATGTTTATTCAGTGTGCTAACTTGGTGACTGGGGACACATGGTAAGTAAAATAAATATGCCTTACATGTTTACACTGCAGTAGGGAGGTAAAGTGTAAAAATTAAAGTGCTACGAAGGAAAAGAATAATGCATTATGGAAATAGGAAAATCTATAGGAAATAGATTGGGGGCTGGTATACCTTTCACTAGTGAAGAACATGACATGTAGGCTAACGTTTGTGGGAATAAGAATTAGGTAAAAAATTGTTTTAAGAAAAGGGAAGAGCGGTTTGAAAAACATTTATTAGTTTATGATAACTTAGGGGTAGTTTCTTTATATTATACAATATTTTCAGTAATTAGGTTCAGTTGTACTTCCAGAGTTAATTACCAAAATACTATGATCAACTTCAATTTTTCATAAAATAACAAGTATAATCTCTCAAACCAGCCTGATTTTACAGAACAAAGCAAATAAAATCATTTAAGGAATTCTTTAACATACAAACTTTAAGAATGGAATTAGAGAAACAATTTATGATTTAACAAATTTTTTAAAAGCCTATAATTTAAAAAAATAAAAAGCACATCAGAAATGACTAAGCAATGACCTTGAGAAGTTCAGAGGCACACTGTCAATCTCCATGAACCTTGCTACTATGGCGCTGACCAAACATACTCACTTTTGTTCCTTCAGTCTGCCTAATGCAATGGCAATTTAGGCTTTAGAGGCAAAGAACCAAGTATGCATTTTAGATTTAGATTCCTTATCTTACTCCAACCCCAGCAAATTACCTGCCATGTATTTTTATTATGTGCATAATAAATATAGTTTTTCTTATACCTTTTTCTTTTTTCTTTTATTCCCCTCTGTTATTTTTGCTTACCCCAGGAAACCACACTGCCTTTTCAGGTAGCTTTTTATGGTCTATTAAAGGCAGGAGTAGTAATTGCAAAAGAGTTATTAACTGGCTTTAAAGAGGCGTTATCACTAATATTTGGGAAATCCTAAAACATCATTCTTGCTTTCACCCACCATGGGTTAATTCCTACTCTTCTTCCAAGTCAATCTTAAAATTATCTGAGGTAGGATCTCTCCCTGATTCGTGCTGCTACAGTAATGTATTTTATACTTAAAAGATTGTGATAATTATTCACTGATCTCTAAAATGTGAGCTTTTTAAAATTAGAAGTTATGTCTAACTTACTCTTCTATCTTTTCCTTCAAAAATGTATTCTCTTAATGTAAATATTTGAGGACTAAATAAGAATATCTTTGTAATCTACTCAGCATCTAGTATAATATTTTGGCTTATTGCCAGTGCTTAATATCTTATAAAACATCACTAAAGAAAAATAAGAAGGACCAACCTAAATAAAAGCACATAAAAAAAAGTCATTTCTACTTGTTCAGTATTAAATATTACAAAACTAAAATGAGCTATTCAAGATTATAACACAGTTTCCAAAACAATTATACTAATTTGTTAAATTTTTAAAGTGAATAACGACTTTAACATAGCCATTATGACAATTAGACATTTAGACCTTTTTTTAGTCACCAAGTTAAAAACAGCTTATTACAAGCAGTAATAATATAATCCTTGTGCATAAATAATAAGTGATGACTAATTCCATTAAAAAAGCTATTTAAGATTTAAGAGGTTTAAATCTGATTGTTTGTACATATTGAGCTAGACTCCACTGCTAACAATGAAGAGGTCTGAGCTGAATCATTTTCTCTTCTGGGTTGTTTTCAAATGATATTTCTTTTTTTTTTTTTTTTATAAATTCGCTTCAAAGCAATTTTTTTTTAAAATATTTATTTATTTTTTTTTTTTTTAGTTCTCG